TAATCCAAGGCACACATATACCAAAGTGAATTTCAAGCATTCAGTTCAGTCGTGATCATGTGGTTCAGTCGTGATCATGTGACATTGGGCGCCTTGTACCACTTGTATTGCAAGATGTCACTCATTTATCAAGTTAAAACTTACTAGAAATGTTTGCTGGTCTTGCGGAACACTCATAGAACAAGTTACAATCCAAGGTTTTACTGCACTTTTTTTTTATTTTAGAGAGAGCGAGCATGCATAGGGGAGAGGAGCAGAGGAAGAGACAGAGAGAGAGAGAGAGAGAGAGAGAGAGAGAGAGAGAGAGAATCTTAAGCAGGCTACACACTCAGGCATGGAGCCTGACACAAGGTTCAATCCCACGACCTGAGCAGAGATCAAGAGTAGGTCACTCAACCAATTCAGCCACACAGGCACCGCTGGACTTTTAGATGTTTGAAAATGAGGATAGGAACCCAAGTTCAGATGCCTTAGGAGCTACTAAAGTAACCAGTGATCGGACTGGGGGGCACAGTAAGAGAGGCACGGACTACAACAAACTGGAACACGTGCATCCTGTCTGAAAGAGGTGGCCTTGGCTCTGCTACCCTGACTGTGGTTGGGAGGGAGTGTAGAACCCAGGACGGCCAGAGTTCCGGAATATTCCAAAGAAGCCAGAAATCCAGATTGTTACATGAAATCTGATTTTGAAACGTCAGCAGCTATTTCACATTTGTTTAAAACGCTGTATCGTACCAAGTACATCTGTGCACCAAACCCTAACTATTCTAATAGGTAGATTTCATTAAAATTCAATTCACTTTAATTTATAGCTATTGGAACTTTGGCAAAGTGACCTCAACTTTCCATGGCTTCAGTGCTGATGTGCTTTATAGATTGTCATTCCTTATTGGCATGAGCTCACTGTGCTTCCTTGTGACTTATTATTCAGAAAGCTCAGATTTCCACAAGCCCACTGTCTCAAAGGAACCAGGATAGTGGGGTGCTATTCTAGTCTGCTGTTAGGTTAAACCTTATTTATTTCAAGCTACTGGAAGAAATCGTTCTCTCCTTCGTCACTACAACCCTCCTGTGTCTTGTTTTCAGCTCAGCATCCAGATAGATTCTTGCAGAATATAAATCAGACGATGTTGCTTCCCTTGCGTGAGTCCTTCAGTCCATCACTGTCATCCTCATAGACAGTCCAACCCCCTGACCAGGGGCCCTTCATTGCATCTTTGCCACACACTGTGCTTCCCCCTCAACCCATCCAGTTCTCAAGCTCAGTCTCAACTCGGGGTGTTTGCACATCCTGTTCCCGTTCATGACCTCCCTTCCCTCTGATTGTCCATGGCTGCTTCTTTCTCAGCCTCCAGGTCTGGCATAAATGTCACCTTCCCAGGAAGGCCTCCCCTGACCACTTACCTAAATAGCAAATCGCTCCCCCTGGTGCCCTCCCTCATGGCCCTCTGTGGCTGTCCTTCTCTGCACTCCACCATCCGCGTTCATCTGATGCACTTGTGTTCCGAGTGCTGACTACCTCCCCTATGATGGGGTCAGCTCCTGTCCCCTGTCCCTGATGTGGGGACTGGCATATAAGTAGCTTTTGAATGAACAGATGTGTGTGTGCAGGACCCATGTACTAAGGGGCAGAGTGAGACCAAGCATCACCGTAGCCCAGGCCTTGGGAAGACAAGACTAAGGAGAGGAGGCCGAATCGTCCATAAAGAACCACGGTGCGAGGCAGGAAATGCCGTACATGGTGCAAGGCAGGGGTGCAGGCCTGGTGTCCTGATACAGCTGAGTTGGCTGTTTGCAGCTAGCATCTGTTCCCATAGATTGCTATGTGCCCTGCCAGTTCTTCAATATTCTCATTTTCTTCCCTACATAGAGCTAGTGGTGAGAGCAAAGTCTAGCAGAGCAAAAACGAGTTAGGGGCAGATGAGCACTGGGCACAGGGTCAGAATCCCAGCCCTGTAGTCTTGGGAAGCCTCAGTGTGGATGAGGGATGGACACCCCCATTCCCGGAGTCAGGGAGAAGGCAGCACCATCCTGTGTGTGATCAATGCTATGATGTATTGGTGACGAGTCCTGCCAGGTGCTGCGAGGCCAGGAGGTTGGAGTGTAGTCTAGGGGACTTGGTAGGGTAGGGAGTGGAGGATGCCTTCCTGGCAGGTAGAAGGGAGTTAGCAGGGGCCAGATAAGCAGGTGAGGGGTGGCGGACTGAGATGCAGGAAGGCACCAGGGTACCCAGGCCTCACTCGGGCCTCATTATGTCCCCACCTGTCCTCCAACAGCACCAGGATTTAACTTAAATGCCCTCCTCTCCTCTAGGTACTCAGGGGGCTTCCACTCTTAGCCTGAGATGCTGCCACACTTACGGGCTTTCCTGTGGGAGACGGGGGTGCCCAGTGGATCAGGTGACTTCTCTGCAGGCTCAGTGACCTCCAGGGGCCACCCTGTGGACAGTGGGCTGTGTGGGGGAACATGCTTGAGAAGACAGTGAAGGCACCACATTTATGGAACACCTGCTGTATCCCAAACCATGAGGAGAACAGAATTCAGAGAGGTTAAGTGAGCTGCCCAGGGTCACCCAGCAACAAATACGGAGATTGAACTCAGCTCTTCTGATCCCAGGTCCTGGGGTCATGATACAAAGTGCCAATTATGTGTCAGGCACTGTGTGGTAATTTACATGTGCAGATGTTGGCACATCCAATCCCCACAACAACCCCGTGAGACAAGTAGAGTAATTTATCTCAATTTCTCAGAAGAGAAGTCTGAGCGTCAGAGAAGTTAAGAAACAGGTGACAAGTTGTATCAGAATGATAATGGCATTTGTAGTAAGAGGTAGCCAACACTTAGATCGTGATTACTCCATGCCCAGCACTGGCCTGAGTGCTTTGTTAACCTCTTCGGTCCCCGCAGCCACCCATCCAGATATATGCTATCCCTTCACCGCCATTTTACAAGCCCGGGAACCGAGGGAAAAGAGGTTAGGTCTTTGAGCCCAGGTCGGTCTGACTCCTGAGCCTGGACAGTCATGCACCAGCCAGTGGCACAACTCCCCCATGTTCTGCAGCAGCCAACTCAGACTCGTTCTGCTATTCCAGAAGGTAGCACCAACACCACTCTGTGAGGTGACTGGCCTCCCACCTCTGGGGGTGTGCAAACTGAGGAGGTCAAGGATGCCATGGGTGCCTGGAAAGCATCACGGATGCTGTGTGAGGGGACGTGTCCATGTTACCTAACCCGCTCGATCCCCCAGTTGGTGGTTCCGTGGTCCAGGGAGGTAGGTGGGTACCAGCGGGGGCACAGCTGGACTGTTTGGTCCAGAATGCATCGGCCACCTCAGAGGTCAGCTCCCCTAGTTGGGCTGAGCCCTGAATTCTGGAGGCTCCACAGGGCCCGGTCCTGCCCTGCCCTTGCCTTTGGAAGGCAGTGACCTCCCCTGAGCCAGGGCTGGGCACACCAAGAAGCTGCCTGGCAGCCAGCAAAGCGGAAAACATTGCTCTAATTAGTCTAATATGTGCACTATGTGCAGCGTGCATCTGGAACAGCCCCAAAATATTGCAGGTTCCTGTCCCACAGGGGCCCAGCTGGGCCTGCGTGCTTGCTGGGAAGCCTGGGGTTTTCCAGGCTGGAGTCTACTGTGGGGCCTCCTTCCTTCCTTCTTTCCCTCCTTAGGCATTTATTGAGCATCTCCTGTTTGCCAGGTACACTCTGCCTTGGGTCCCAAAAGTTGGCATTCATATCTTAGTTCCTAGGGTAGGGACTGCCTCCTCTCTTCCAATCTGCTGTGTTGGAGAGGAGGGCTCTGATAGTCCTGGTCTCGAATTCAGGGACTGCCATTTGCTCACTGTGGAACCTCACGTCAGTTGCTTCCTACTCTGTAAAATGGGCTGACAACCCAGCCTGCACAGGGTAGGTTAAAGTCTTACCTCCCTCAGAAAGCCCTCTGGGACTTATGGGTCCTAAATCCCAAATAGCTTCTCCCTGCTGGACTCTGGCAGTGAGTGCCGTGGGGAGTGAGATGGCCTCAGTTCCCCATCTGCTAAAACCCTGGGAACCATCGGGGCGGAAGGCAAGAAGTAACCCAGGAGCTCAACCCCTCCCTCCACAGGTTGCCCAGGGGAACTGAGACCCTCTCTGGGGACTGGCCTGAGATAACACAGTGAGCCAATGGCAGAGTCAGTGCTAGAACGAAGGCCTCAGGACTCCGTCTCCAGTGCTCTTCTCAAAACAGAGCCCTCCTGAGGCAGCTCAGCCGACGGTGAAGAGCACAGCTTGGAAGTCCCATGAACCTGAGTCTGAATCCCAACTTCCCCACTTAACAGCTAGGGGGCCTGGAGCCGCTAGTTACATCTTGCCGGACCTCAGTCGCTGCATCTGTAAATGGGGATGATAATTATATTGTTGTTAGAGTGCTTGTTGCCGCAGCCCCTTGGGGGAAGCCAAGAGTATGAGATTCACTGGCTCCCTCTGAGCCTTGGCTATGAATGGATACTCCCCCTTCTGGAAAGCCAGAGGTGAGGTCAGCCATGGTGAGCGTGGGAAAGAGCGTGGGCTCTGGAGAAATCCTGGTCCAAAGCCTGGCTTTATGCCTTCTCAGCTGTGTGACTTGGGGCAAATTACTGAGCCCCTCTGGACCTCAGTTCCCCATCTGCTAAAACAAAGTTAGTGTAGAAACTCTCCTCACTGAGGATGAAATGAGTTAATATTTGTGAAATGCTTGGAACAGTACCTGGAGGCAAGGTGTACAGTTTAAATAAAATACAAATGCCCACCTTGCATCCCTGTCCCTGATCAGTGCACTGTGGGAGGTCTAACGCCTTCCCTCCTAGAGGGCTCATGAGGCAATGCAGAGCCCATGGGATGGGGGGGGGGGGGGGGGGGCGTGTCGGGGACATCGGCCCCTGACCCCACCCCCTCAGCTGTCCCTCTTGGGGGAGAGTCAGCTCTGGGCTGGGCAGGGGGTGTCCTGAGCATCAGTCACTGGGTGAGCCAAGAAAAGATCAGAATGTGTCTACTCGTGATCTTTTTAAAAATTCCATTCGAGTATGTGCTTTATAGTGTACATAATAGGCTAGTTCAGTGGCACATCTATCCTTCATAAATAAATATCCGTCTGTGGGGGCCGTGTGCTCATTCAAGCTTGGAGGCCGTTTGACCTAAATTAATAACAGTCCTTGCCTGGAACCCAACGCTGTGCTAAAAGTACATCCGCTCCTCTGATCCTCCGATGACCGTAGGAGGCGAATGCTGTTATCGTCACCACTTTCCAGGTGAGGCAAGGAGAAAATCAAGGCGACTCTTCCAGATCAGGAAGCTGGCGGTAGCCCAGGGTTCACACCCCCACAGTCTGGGGCCAGGGGGCTGTGCTGCTGGTTTTAACTTAAAAGGTCTAAAATGAAAGAAACGATCACCTTCGTAAGGATTAATTTTCTTCCTGTAGTCCCCAAAATGCATGTGTGTGCGTGCACACACACACACACAGCCCACCATGACACCACCACCAGCTACTTGTATTTCTTCTGGCTTTTGCTAGAAACCTTGATGTCCCTTCTATCAGCATAACCGTGGCCTCATTTACTGCGAACATAGACCCCAACCTAGTCCACGGGGGGAGCAGCCTCCTGCTGCTGTGTCTAGATCTTGAGTTCCATCTCCTTCTCTGGGTTCACAAGGTGTCTCCCAAGCCCACCCTGGGATGCGAGGGGATGTTTGCTGAGGCAGGACTGGCAGAGAGCACAGGTGAGCCGAGCCTGGTGCTGGCACGCAGTAGGTCTGTTTATCTCTCTGTGACCCTCTCTGCTCTAGGCTAGTGGAGTCCGTCTGACTTTTGCAGTCCCACTCAGGAGGTGCCAGTAAATGCTTCCTGTGAGAAGGACGGTGCTCCTCTGTGAAAATAAACACTCCAGGGGTGCCTGGGTGGTTCAGTCAGTTAAGCATCCAGCTTCAGCTCAGGTCATGATCTCACGGTTCATGAGTTTGAGCTCTGTGTCGGGCTCTGGGCTGACAGTTCAGAGCCTGGAGCCTGCTTCACATTCTGTGTCTCCCTCTCTCTGTGCCCCTCCCCTGCTTGTGCTCTCTCTCTCAAAAGTAAACATTAAAAAATTAAAAAAAAAAAAAAAAACCCTCCAGTCCAGTCCCCAAAAAGCCAACCAGCCGGTAGTTTGGGTCCCGCAACTCAGCTCCTTAGGAGATTCCTAGGACGTAAGAGGAAACCAAAGAAACCGGGAGAGGCCAGTGCCTCTCACCACCCAACCGCATTTTACAGAAGGGGAAACTGAGGCCCAGAGAGACGCCGTGAGTTGGGCAGAGTCTCTAGGAAGCCTGGGGCATGGTCTGGGTCATTGGATGAAGGAGTGCGTGCACAGCCAGAGCCTGCCCCTTGCTGTGGACCAAACCCTAACCATGCAGACCCCTCCCCAGGGTTTATAGGAACGAGCTTCGGGGACACAGCAGGAGGAGGTCAGTTGCCTTGGGCCTCAGAGGGGTCCCAGGAGCCAGCTGAGGACAGGTCCTACTTTTCTCGCCACTGCCATGTGGAGATGACTAGCGTGGTAGTATCCTCCCTGTGGTCCCAAGAAGGAGGCCTGGCTGAGAGGTTCAGACACATCTGCCTCTGCCCTGGCCCCACCACTCTGATGTGACCCTAGGTGGATGAGCTCCCCTCTGCAAGCCTCAGTTTCTCCATCCGTATAATAAGAATGATAACAAAGTCACAGCCCCACTAATAACAGTGGCCCTCCTATACTCACCGGTGAAGCACCATGCTGCACCTGGCCAGTCCTCAGGGTGGCACTGGGTGTCGAGGACCGTCATTCCTTGTTCCCATTTACCGTGATAAAATTAGAGGCTTTTCTTTTTCCCTTTGGGCAACATGCCCACCTTTGCACAGCTATGAAGCTGCCCAGTGTTTAGGACACAGGTTGCCGATCTCCAAACTCATGCCTTTAAGTTTTAAATGTTTATTTATTTTTGAGAGAGAGAGCGAGCGAGCACAGAAGCAGGGGAGGGGCAGAGAGAGGGGGGGACAGAGAATCCCAAGCAGGCTCCACACTGATAGCAGCGAGCCCGATGCAGGGCTCAAACTCACGAACCATGAGATCGTGACCCGAGCCAAAGTCAGACGTGCAACTGACTGAGCCACCCAGGCGCCCCCAAACTCATGCCTTTAAATACGGTGTTATGTTACCCACCTGTCTTTTGCCCACACCATCAAATGAACCAACGGATGTACAAAGGGACTGGTGTCATGCCTGGCCCACAGAAGCATTGAGGAGATGGTGGCGTTAGTGTTAGCACTGAAATTATTATCATGACTCGTGTTTACTGCTCAAACACTGCGCTGAAATGCCCGAGCCAGAGGCAGACGAGTAGGGCAAGCAAGCGTGGCCTGGACATAGAATCATTCTCTCTCTCTCTCTCTCTCTTTTAGGTTGCAATTGTCCGTCCCCCTAGAATCCAATGCCTCAGATGAAAACATTTTTGCCTTTGGGCTCCAGTGCCCATCCGTCATTGGCCTGTGCCAGCTGCACCCCGCCCCTCCCCCCATCCTCATTTCATTATCTTCTCCTCTCAGTTCCCATTTGTCGCCGTCTGCAGTGTAGACGACCATCCTCCAGTGTGCGTTGCCTGCCCCTCTGTGTGCCTGCTTGCAAAGTGCGGACACTTCTAGTTTCCAGGACACCTGTTCAGAGGAAGTCACCCATACAGAAAAGGGCAGAAACGACACGCGGAGAGCTTTGTGAATTTTCACAACTGAACACACCTGCGTCACCCAGATTAGGGAGCAGGATCCAATGAGTGTGTCGTAGAAGCTCCCACGTGCCCCCGCCCCCCGCCCCCACCCAAAGAAGGGCGGCTTTCCTGATTCCTAACACCCTAGAGTCAACTTGGCTGTGTTTGAACTTTGTACCGATGGGATCACGCACCGGGCACCCCACCCCCCCGGCTTCTTTTGCTCAATAGCACGTCAGTGAGACTCACACAAGTTGGGGTGGAGCTCATCCCAGCTCGTCTATTCTCTTTGCTGTCTGTGATGGCCTCATATGGAGCTGCTACAGAGCGCCATTCTCCCGCTGTTGGGCGCGTGGAGGGTTTCCAGTTTCCAGCTGTTCCAAACACCGCCGCGCATTCCTGAACAAGGCTTTCGGTGATCGTAGTACGTATCTCTGTTGGGTAAATAGCTCGGGGTGAATGGCTGGGTCGCACGTACGTGTACCCTCAGCTTCGGTAGGCTCCGCCAAAGCTTTCCAAGTGCCTGCACCGCCTTCCGCCCCCACTGGCCGTGTAGGAGAGTGCCAGCCCCCCCACATCCTCACAACTTGCTGCTGCCTGCCCTTCTCATCATAGCCTTTATGCTGGGCGCACCTGGATGCGTGATTTCTGTAAACGGTGGTGTTTCCCGGCTCTCGCTTTATTTTACTCTCCCCCCCACGCAGCCCCTGCGTCTCTCTTAATAGCTGGAAATTGCAGCTCCTGTTTGCTGAACACTTTATACACACCAGGCTTTAGAGCTTAATTCTACGACCATTGCCTCACTCAACCCTCAGACACCCGATGAGGGAAGTACCATTTCACAGATGGCAAAACCGCGGCACAGAGAGGGAAAGACCCCCTCCCCTGGACACATCTGATTGTCCCAGTCGGCAGGAGGAGAAGGGGTCAAGGTGAAAACCTTCAGCATGACTTAGGGATGCTCTGACCCGACCTCTCCTTTGCCTAAAATGTGACTGAGAGGCAGGGAGGGGCCCCTGTGCCTGCCCTCCCTGCCTTAATTCTGGGAAAATCCTAGTCCTTCCCAGGCTCAGTCTTCCCATCTGTAAAATGACAGTGTCCAGCACCAGGCACAAAGACACACATTTGCTCCATTAAATGACAACCCACATCCAGACCCTACAGCATGAGAGATGGTCTTCACATATTATCTCACTTGATTCTCACACAATCCCTTCAAACTGTGTAGGAAATCTCCCTGTCACAGCCATGGACACCGAGGTCCAGAGAGGTGGGCACACTTGGGCAGAGTCAGACAACCGGTGATGATGCTGGGATTTGAACTCACGTGACTCACTGACATGCCCGATCCCCTCACGATTCCCCCATTTGGGGCTTAGCCCGACCTTTTCGGAAGCTGCAGAGATGCTTAGGTGTTGGAATATATTTTTAAATTGTTAAAGAAAGATGGGGTGCATGTGAGGCTCAGTTAGTTGAGCGTCTGACTCTTGATTTCTTTTGGCTCAGGTCATGATCCCAGGGTCGTGGGACTGAGCCCCACATTGTGCTCAGCACTGAGCATGGAGACTGCTTGGGATTCTCTCTCTCTCTCTCTCTCTCTGTCCCTCTCTCCCTCTGTTCCTCTCCCCAACTCGGGCATGCATGCACATGCTCTCTGTCTCTGTCTCTCTCAAATATATATATATATATATGTGTGTGTGTGTGTGTGTGTGTGTGTGTGTGTGTGTGTGTGTGTGTATAATTCATTTTTACTCTAAATTAAAAGGGAGCAGAATGTTAACTATACAGTTACTGTATGTTCCAGCAATTCCATTCCGTATATCAATAAAAATGAAGACATATGTCCCTATATCATTATTCATAGCAGCATTAATCACAATAGTTAAAAGGTAGTTAAAAAGTCAAATGCCCATCAATAGATTAATGGATAAACAAAATTCAGTGTAGCCACACAATGGACTCTTCCTCACCAATAAAAAGGGATATGGTGCTGGTGAGGCTGGACAGCTCAGTCGGTTGAGTGTCTGACTCTTGATTTTGGCTCAGGTCATGATCTCACAGATCATGAGTTCGAGCCCCGCATTGGGCTCCACACTGACAACCTGGAACCTACTTAGGATTCCCTCTCCCCCTCTCTCTCTCTGCCCCTGCCCCACTTGTGCTCTCTCTCTTTCTTAAAATAAATAAATAAACTTAAGGGGAAAAAAAAGAAGGAATATGGTACTGATACATGTCACAGCACGGATGAACCGAACAGACGATGCAAGTGAAAGAAACCAGTCACAAATATGAAAAAATGCAGAATAGGTCAGTCAGAGAAAGTAGCTTAGTGATTGCCTAGAGCTGGCAGTGGGGCGATAGGGATGGGGAGTGAGTGCTAATGGATGCAGAGTTTCTTTTTTGGAGGGATGAAAATGTTCTAAAATTAGATGGTGGTAATAGTTGCACAATTCCGTAACTATGCTAAAAAACACTGAATTGCACATTTTAAATGGATGGATTTTATGGCATATGATTATATCTCAATAAAGCTGTTTTTTTTTTTTACAACTCAAGTAAGTGGCTGAACATGAAGCATGCTGGACAGGACATGCTCTGGGGGCTTTCTGCAAGCTTGTTACTGCTCTCACCCCCACAGCTTGCCTCTTGAATTGGGCAACTCGCCCCTTGCCACCCCATGCTGCCAGCTGTCCTGAATGCATAACAAAGGGTCATCGGAACGAATTTGGTGTCCAGGCTTTGCTCACTGTGGCCTCGTTTGCAGGAAAAATTGTTGGCCGTCTTCCTCGTTGTTTGTCTCTCTAGGCTCCTGAACTATCTTTTCTGGTTCATTTATCCATTTTGTTTAGTCATCAGGCATTTATTGAATACCTACTGTGTACTAGGTTCTGTTCTGGTCATGAGAGAGATTCAATCCAGTCCCCGACCTTTAAGAGTAAACATTTTGTCATGGGAACAGACTCAGAAAGGGAAACATGGAATCTGATACAATACATCTGGCCACGTATTTGATGACTATTTATTGAGTGCCTACTACATACTGGACCTGTGTTGGGGACTGGGGACATCATGGTGCCAGAGAAGCAGCATAGCTCCGACTCGGGTGTCCAGACCACAGCTGCACCGCCTGGGTTCAGGTCCCGGCTCTGCCACATGACCCTCCTGTAAACTGAGGATGAAAATAGAGTCTATGTTCTAAGGCTGGTATATGTGAAGTTCCTTGAACAGCACCTGGTGCCTACTAAGGACCAGGTAAACGTCAGCCATCACCACAAATGTCACTTTTAGTTCTGCTAGATGTGGACAGTCTAGGGGAAGCAGGGGAGGTCCCAGCGGGTCAGGCGATGGTGGGCAAAGAGTATAGCAAGCAGAGGGGATGGCTTGGCCAGGAGCCTCGGTGCAGGACGACTGTAGAGGCGGAATGCACAGAAAAGGTGGTGAGGATGAGAGACGAGATAGATCCTGCAGAGCCCTGGAGCTCCTGGTTTCCTCTGCACTGGCTCTGCCTGTACTCTGGGGGTTGGGGGGGCCTCTCCCTCCAGAGCAACCTCACAGCCTTGAGGTCAGGGGAGTCCTCTGGAGCCAGCGCAGGGGGAAAGGGCCAGTGCACCTGGGTAGAGAGAGGCCGGGGTCAGAGCTGGATGCCAGCTGCTAAGGGTCCAGGCGGGTGGGAGGAGCTGGCTTCGTGGATTCCCTCCCGTCTATCGCCACAACCTCTATGAAGCTGGCATATCTTTATCCCCACTTGACAGAAGAGAAATCTGAGACTCAGGGAAAGGAAGCACCTGGCCAAGGTCACACAGCCCTGAGTGGAGGTGCTGCTGAGGTTCAAGCCCACATGGATTTCCCTGAACCCCCCATCCTTAGCCGCCAAACGGGGGAGGAGGGCAGTGGCTGCAGAGGCTGGAGATGTGGGTTAGGGTCAGAGTTAAGTTTTGCATTAGCTAGCGTCAGACTTCCTGTGAGCCCCGGGAAACCCTGCCCCTCCCTGGGCCTCAGTCTCCTTCTCTGCAAAATGAAAGCAGCAGAGACTATTCAAAAGCAGCTACACTCACCTACCAGGTGGCCCCGGGAGCACTTGAAAGGTCGAGTATTTGATGGTCAAGCGCCATCCAAGTATCCGGGAAGGACGCTGTCTGTCTATGTGACCTCAAGCAAAGCCTTCTGCATTCCAGGCCTTGGGTCACAGATGGGGAAATGTGATTTCTGAGTCACTTTTGTCTGAGGTTTCCTGAAAATGTTCACCTGGGCTTCAACTTCAAGGGCACTTAAGTTAGTCTCAGGGTTACCATCTGGAGGTGAAGCATGCAGGCTGAGTAGGAGTACGGTTGCCAGATTTAGCAAATAAAAATAAAGGAAACCCACTTAAACTTGAATTTCATATAAATGACAAATCCTTGTTTAGTAGAAGTGGGTTCCCATGAAATATTTGGGATACACTTATACCAAAAATATGTCATTGTTTTTCTGAAATTCTAATGTATTGGGGCGTCCTGTGTTTGATCCCGCAGCCTTCGTGGGGGTAGGTTGAATGTCTGCCTGAGAGACACTGGTGTTGGTCTCTCTTCACCAGAAAAACATGGTCCCAAGAAGCCAGAGGCTTTGTGGGAGGGGGTAGGAAAATCAGAGGGAAAACATACCTCCCCCTCTAGCGTCCTCCTTTCTTCTGTTATTGTTCTGAAACTCACCCCTGCTGTTGGCTCCCTCAGCACTGGGGGCCTGAAGAGATGTGATGTGAGACTAGCCTTTATCTGATGGGCAAGTTCGGAATGGCTGTTGGGTGTTTGGGACCAGGGTATGAGTGGGAGGGGCAGGCAGCCAGGGGACCTAGCAGGCTTCAGACCCCAAGTTATTTGTGCCACCCTCTCCTGCCTGCCACTCTCCCACCATCACTGGAACCCAAAGAACACTGGGTTTGAGGACCACCCTACCTCCCGGGACACGCCAAGCCCTGTGGTCTGGTCTGCACCTTGAGTGGGATCTCAGACCACTTCACAGGGACGAAGCCCTTTTCGCTGGGCCCTGTTTTCTCGCCTGGGAAATCAGGTTTAATTTCTCTGACCACTGCAGCTGGGGGAGATGGTTTCCCAAGCGCCTCGAGCATGTGCCCATGTGCAGTGCTGTGCCCCCTGCTCAGTTCCCTCTGTCCAGCCACACTGCCCGCCCTGAGTTCCTCAAATGTGCCCTGTTCCAGGGTTGGCTGCATAATCTGAGGCCCCCTTACTCCCATTCAAAAGAAAGGAATAAAGTATCATTAAAGGGACTAAAATATAAACCTCTTCCATTCTTCCTCTGTCTTTCTTCTTCCAGTCTGTTCTCTCTCTCTGTCATGGTGTTTTGTATTTGCCACTTAATGTCACACTCCCTTCAGTGCAGAGATGCTCGTGGGGTCTCACACCTGCACCTGGGGCTTTACCCCCAAACTCAGCACTCCTGCACCCACTGACTTCCGGGTTGCCCCTCCCATAGGCTGCCTGACCTGTGCCGTGCCCCAGACAGGAGTGGCAGACCAAGCTAGACATCTCCCCTTCCTCGGCCTGTCACCCCAACCCACTATGCGAGGCAACGCACAGGGTATTGTGCCTTCCTTGCTGGGACAATGTCCTTCTGTACTGGGTACCTAGACCCCCTGGAGTAGCTTAGAGATGCCTCCTGGTGCTGCCAGCTTGGTGCAAGAATTCCCATTGCTTTGCCCTTC